TTGGCGGCAAAGCCCGGGTGTTGTTTTTTTTTGAGTGTGGAGAGAATTTAGAGAGACTCCCTGGATCCTGGCTGCAGGCCCAGTGAGCAGCAGTTCAGGGAATGCCAGTAACAAAGGAATTATTCTCTTCTCCCACCCGCCATTCTCTGCTCCTTCCCCTCCCCGGGCTGGTACTTTCCTAGGCAGCTGTTGGAAAGCAATGGCCTGCAGCAGGAGACTTCATCCCAGCCCCAACCCTCCCACCTGCTCTCACCCCAGGAATGGGGGGCTGTCCTCTTCCCGCCGGGTCCCCTTCTCCGGGCCAAAGCTGAGGCAGATCCGTTAGTCTCAGGGTCTGATAGGCCGTCATGCCGCTGTGCAGAGCCGGTGTCGCGGTGTGGCTGGGTTGTACCCACGCCAGAGCACCATGTTGCCCCTGGATGCAGCCCTCTTTGGGCTTAGGGACAAGCGCTGAGCTCTGCCAGCTTTGCCCAGTGGATGCAGGGTTTTCCCTGGCCCCGCTGAGACACGTGGTGTCAGCGGGAAACCTGGCCTGGGCAGGCAGAGATTTGCTGGGATTCGTGGGCATCCTGCCCGGTTGTAGCTGCGATTCCGAAGGGGTCGCTAGCAGCTGCCTGACGTGGAGGGGCCCTTCCCTGTCTCCAGAGAGAGACTTTGCTTAACCACTTGCAGTCTATAACCCTTGTGTTGAGAATGACCCTGAGCTGGGCTCTGCTAGTTTCTCTGGGCTGGGCTGCTTCTTGACTGGGAAAATCAGTGGGGTTGGCACCTCTCACCTGCCGCCCACCAAAAGGAGGTGTCAGTTGGAGTGAATTGGGCCACTCTGTGACCCTCCCACCCCCTCCTCACATGAGCAATGAAATAGTTAACACTGGCAAACTTGCATCATTGCCCGGCTGTCCGAGTTAAGTCATGGAGATGACTGGGGCAGTTCACATGTCTCCAAGCTATTGAGCCGCTGTCTGCTTCCGTTCCACTCAAGTCACGTTTTTTGATTTTTTCTGTGCAATCGGCTCGGTCTGTCTTAACCAAAAAAAAAAAAAAAAAAAGCGGAGATCCTGGAGAACGTGACAGTAGCTTCAGGGCCGTTCCCAGGGGAAATACGCCACTTGAGAGGTCTGTGACATTCTTTCACGAGCCACAAACAGAGGCCAACATTTGCAAATCTAGGAGCCTACGCTTAAGGCTCAGCTCCCAAGTGCATATTTAGACGCTGAAGTATCCGTGGCCTGCAGAGCTGCTGAAGGCCCCTGGCCCCCAGCACAGTCCCGGGGGCTGCAGGAAGTTCACGTCTTTGGAAATCAGGCCTCCATGGATTCAGGAGCTACCCGTTCAGTCTGAGAATGCCTGCCGCAGTCCTTGAGTTGGACCACGGGACGCCCTTCAGGTCAGAGCCCCTCCTTTGTTGGATTCTTTCACCTGAGGATCTCCAAGCCCTTTACAAAGGTAGGTGAGCACCGGGGGTCCCCATTTTTCAGATGGAGAAGCTGAGCCACGGAGACATGACGTGACTTGCCTGAGGACCAGAGCCCACGACTCCTGGCTCCCAGCCCCTTCCTCTTGCCATTCGTCTCTCTAGCGGAGAAGTGGCTGAAGTGATGCAGAGGGAATGGCACACGGTGGGGGTCAGGGACATGGGGCGGGAGGATGTGCTGTATATTCCAGGCCCCCCCAGAGAAACGCAGCTGGGGAAGCTGGAGAGCCTAAGCAGAAAGGCTCTTGCCAACAGCTCGTGCAGGGCAGAGGAATCAGAAAGTTGCCAAAGGGAGTGAGAGCTGCAGTTTGTGCCGGTTTGGATTGCTATGATCCGCCGGGCGGGGGAGGGAGGTAATCTGAGCGTCGCGGCGGGAAAGGCTCTGGGGCTTCGCGGCAAAACTGGCCGGGGGAAAGGCCTTTTCCACAATGAAAAACCTCTTGGAATTTGGACTCTGGCCCTGTGGCGCGAGAGTGGCGGTTGGGAGCGGAGCCGTTGGGTGACTGAGGGGGATTTGGCGGCAGGGTCCCTGGGAAAGCCGCCAGCACCTGCTGCCCAAGGTGTGTCCGTGCAGCAGGGGTGGCAGGGTTTGGGCAGGGCTCAGCTGTGCTTCCGTGCACCCAAGACTTGGTCCCCGCCTCTGTCAGAGCACCCTGGAGCACAGAGCATGTTACAAACATGACACTGAATTTTCAAGAGACAAGTGATTTTGGGGCTCCCCAGCAGGAGACATTGTCAAAGGGCCCAGATTGCCGGAAAATGCAGCTCCCCCTCACCCTGAATATCAGGCCTGTCTTGAGGGCCCCAAAGCTCTAGTCACCCAAGGTGTCTGAAGGCTTAACACCTAGGATTCCCAGGCCTTTGCTCTAACCACCAGATCCGCCCCCTCCAGGCCTATGAGGTTGGTTATTTGCTTTTGTTTTTTCCTTCCATTCAGGACTTTCCTTTGCGTTTAACATAACCCACAGATGGCTTCTTATTTCCTGGAGTCCGGTGCCGTTTGCTGTCTTTGCAGCAGCTGGCGTGAGGTGCTGGGTCCACCTGGCAAACAAACCCACCAAAGGGTGAAGTCTGGGCCTGATCCTGCATTGCTGATGCCCTTGCAGCCAATGGGAGCTCTGCTTGGGCCAGGGTTGTAGGACAGGGCCCTTGGCAAACCATTTCAAAGCGTCCCAAACACGGGACTGGTGATTTGATAAGTAAGGTTCGTTTTAAGGCTCCCTCTCCTCCCCCCCCCCACTTTTTTTCAATTTTGCAAAGTGCTTAGTTTGCTAGGTGACGCTTTCGCTGCATAAGGCAAGTTTGCTGCCCCGAGGAGTGTGCAGTGGAGGTGGGGCGGATACCCCAGTGTGCGCTGCGGGGGGCACTGGCAGAGCGAGGGGGGAAACGCTCCAGAGAGGGTTTCTGGGGTTGCACTCAGCTGGCCTGTCTTGCTGTGTGCGGTTTTATCAGTGCATTTCCACCTGGCGTTGAGCAGTGTGTGGGGGGGGGGGGGTGGCGATCAGCTAGGGAACGTGTGTGTAGGGGGGGGCGCAAAGGGGAGGCTGTGCTGGTGCGGGGTGGTATGGAGCCCAGAGGGGCAAAGCGGAGGGCCCGGGAAGAGCAGCCGGAGGAAATGCGAGCTGAGATGCAGGTAGCAGCAGAGGCTCCAAAATGGGCGGGTGGGGGGGTGTTTTTTTGTCACTGGAGGGATGTGGCTGGGCTGGCGGTGAAGGACAGAGAGCCTGGCATGGCTAGAGAAGAGCAGGAGGAGGGAGGCCTTGTGGCGGGGGTTAGTGGCGGGAATGGAGAGGAGACGCTGCATGGAGGAGCTTGTTGAGGGGGGGGTGGCCCCAAGGCTGGTGTGAACCGGGCGAGCGGGTTGTGGTCTGTGCTAGAGAAGAGTGGGGGGTGGGATGGGGCTAGTTGGGTTGGAGTTGGTGGATCATGGCGGGATGTCCTGCCTGAGGTACTGGAAAGGCAGCTGAGGAAGAGACCAAAGAAGTCGAGGTGGGAGTCATCGGTGGAGAGGCAGGAGCTGAAAGCAGCGGGGGCAGGTGGGAGGGGCACAGTCCTGTGGGCTGGGGGAGACGAGCCCCCCAGTGCGATGACGACTGGGAGTCTGGTGCGGAAAGATAAATGGGTTGGGGGTTGAAGTCTGTACAAACCCCGATTCCCTCACCGGGCCCTGCTGTACATCCAGAAACGATGAGGCAGGTTCCATTTCAACCAATGCGTCCGGGCGAGGAGTGTCCCCAGGGGGCCTTTTGGCTGCTGTCTCTGAGGGGCGCTGGGCTGAAGCGCGGTGCCCTGGGTCAGCTGCTAGGTCTGGCGTGGCCTTCTGCCTGCCCTGGGCTCGCTGATTCTCGCTTTGCCGCTGCTGACTGGGTCTGCGGGGTGGAAATTCCCACCCATTCGTCACCAGTGTCCAGGGTACTCATAGAATCATAGAATATCAGTGTTGGAAGGGTCCTCAGGAGGTCATCTAGGCCAAACCCCTGCTCAAAGCAGGGCCAATCCCCAATTTTTGCCCCAGATCCCTAAATGGCCCCCTCAAGGATTGAACTCACAAGCCTGGGTTTAGCAGACCAATGCTCAAACCACTGAGCTATCCCTCCCGCACCGGTCCCCCATGGCTGGGTACCGAGTCACGGGAACGGCCCCATCCTAATGGCAGGCCTGTTCTTCTGCTTCTTTAATACAAACTTGCGCAGAGAATTCACGGCTTCAGCTCTGGGAGCTGCCTCTCATCAGGTGCCCCCAGGGCTTGGATTTCTCTGGCGCTGCTGAGACCGAGCATCAGATCTGGGCTTGGGGCTCAGCTCCTGGGGCTCTGGGCTGGGAGCTTTTGGGCAAACGAGCCGAGAGGCAATTAACGGCCAGCTTCCGATAGTGTCGTGGGGCCACCTGCTGGACAAGAGATGCAGAGCACACACCGGCTGAAAGGAGCCGGGCAACCTCAGGGAGCCAATGGGATCAGTGGCACGGGTCCAGTTTGTGTCCCCTGGCTGCAAATGGGCACCGCTCCCAGCTTCCCCCGCTGCAGGCCACCGGAGCGACTCCGGCCGTCGCCGGCACTGCTGCAGGGCCCAGCGTTGCTACTCCGGTGGTAGCCTTTGGCAGGTGGAATCAGGAGTGGACAAAGGCCAGAGTGCTGGATCCTCGGCCCCCAAGTCCCCATGTTGGAGGGGACCCAGCTGCGACAGGAAGGCAGCATCACAGGTGGAAGGGGTTAGGAAGATCAAGGACTCTGGCATGAGGAAGACGGTGCCTCTCCGCGGGGGGCGAGGGGGTCAAGCCTGTTGGGAGCCCTCAACGTTTTGCAGTGAAAGGGGATGAAATACTGGTGAATCTTTATAGAGCATGGCCTGGCACTGCTAGATCGTAGGGAATGCTGTGTTGTCGCCCTCTCCCGGCAGCTAGCAGGGGAAGCAATGACCAGGGGGCGGTGGACAGCTGATTGCAGGGGGGGTTGCCCGTGACCCCTTTCCCCCGGTGGAGGAAGCCCCGGCGAGGCCAAGCAACAGAGACGGCGCCAGTCTGGCAATAAACAGATTAAATGTTATTTTATTTCACACAAAAATGTACAAAATAACAGGTGAGTGGCTTTTAATTGTTTTATATTAAAAATCTAAGAGGTGCACTGAGCTATTTTCAATGGACTCAGTGCGGGAGGGTTTCAAGATGATGTCTTTTTCTTCTTCTTCTTCATCGTCATCGTTGTCACAGTCGGACCCTTGGAGTGATTCACGCACATTATTTACATCTGTCAGGAGAGGCGGCTTCCTGCCGGCCATGCCCTGGACCCCTCCCATCGCACTTGGGGGGGTGTAGTCCAGATAAAGTGACCGTACACTGTACCCCTGTGGGAACCATGGGACGCCCCCCCTGCTCCTGGGCTTCCATCCCCGAGCCCCCACCCCAAGCTCAGGCAGGCTAAGAACTGGGCATGTCACATCGCCACTGAGGGGGTGCTGGGGGTGGGAAACGGAACGGAGACGCACGGAGTGGGTGGCACGCAGCCTGCCAGAGTTGGACACTGATCTTCTTTGGAGGGAGGCGGGGGGCGTTGGGGAGGGCGGATTTGTGGGCTGCTTAGTTTGTTCTTGTATTTCTGCATTTTTATTTTTTAAAAACTTTTTTCCCTTTCTTTACAAAATGAGGACTATGATCATGGTTATTTATAGCAACATGGCAACATTTAAAATTTTCTGCTGACAGTTCTAAGTTAAGCCTCCAGGCCTCAGCTGCACAGATCCCCCCCCACCCCACCGCTCTCGAGGCGCTCACTGCAACAGGGCCCGGATCTGCTTGGACGTGGTGTCGTCGTTGAGGTGCCGGGTGGTGTACCTGCAAATGGAGGAGGGGGATTTATGCTACTGAAGAGTCCACGTGGTGCTTTTCAAGCCATTAAGCCTCCTCTCTGTCTCCCAGAACCAACCGTCGTGACGAGCTCAGGCCAAACCATTTTGATCGCATTGTGGTGTTTATGCTGACTCCACATTTTAATCCTGTCCCACCAGGAAACCTCTGAACAGTGAACGCTCAGGACAAAGAAGGGAACGGCAAGGCACAGACAGGAATCTCAGGCAAGCAACGGAGCAGGAATTTACCACGCAAGGGAGGACTAATGCCCCTTATGAAGGAGCCATTTATCTTATGAAGTGGGATTTAGACTGAGAACCTGTGTGTGACAAGGGGTCTAATCCAAGGGTTGGGAATTGTGCTGTATAACACAGAGGCCAGCCACAAGAAATGCGCCTCGAAGCACACCTGAACCCTGACCCTTTCCCCAGACACAAGGCCAGCAGCCTAGCTGCTTCAGACATCAGATTCAAATATGCTGGAGACCAGCACTCCAAAGGATCTATCTAATGGGAGCAGATCCCAAGCACAGTTGAGATCAACCTAAACATCTGTCAGAGAACGCCTCCGAATCCATGGGTGTGCTTCAGCTGATACTCAAAAGGAAGCTCGGTGGACCTGGAACCAAGAGTTTTAGCCCCGTGCATTTCGGATCCATGCCTCAGAGAGCAATGGGCGCGCACCAGAAACACAATCTTTGCACTGGCTGATTCAGGGACTTGAAAGCATGATTACTATGGGTATTACTGCCGTGCCTGGGGGCCTTCGCTGCAATTGTGTTAGGTGCTGCACATAAGCATAGTAAGAGATGGTCTTTGCCTCATAGAGCTCAGTCTAAATAGACAAGACAGGTGAGAGAAAGGGCCGTATTATTACCCTCCTTTTACAGATGGGGAAACTAAGGCATAAAGTGACTAGTCTGGAGTCGGACAGGTTGTCAGCAGTAGAGGTGGGAGTGTGAACCTGGATCTCCTGAGGCCCATTCAGGGCCAAAACCAACCTGCCTGTCTGTAGAGACAAGGCGCCTTGAATCTGTAGGTCACTGGCTCACACCCAGCCTAGCTCAGTAGCAATCTATAGGGGCTACCACTGGACAGCGGTTTGGTGACCTGTCTGAAATGAGTTGGAGAGTTCTCAGCGGGCAGGTGTCTCCACGACAGGAAAACACCCAGCACAGCTGATGGAAAATCAGCCTCCCTGTTGGCACTTTCTTCAGCAGAGTCAAGGACTGAACAAGCCATAAAGTCTGAGTTGCTCCCACCCTTCTGGGAGTTTGAGGGGCATCTGCTACTGGACTAGTCTTGTAGTGGAATGGATTTGAGCCCCCAGGTCTGTGAGCCTGGCACCTTGAAATGCCCAGGGAAACATTAAATCAAGGGAGTACCAAAGCCATTCTAGTTATTGCCGGTCTGTCTGCTGAATGCACTGTCTGATCTCGGCTTGGCTCCTGGAGGCTTTGAGCTCTATTCTGTGCAAGTGTTTTCGAGAAGAGAGTTCTCAGCAGGGGAGGAGATGGGGCAGACGAGCCTCTCTTACCAAAACAGTCACAGAGAGTGGACTTTATACTAATTCATAAAGAAGAGAACAAACGTGTGTGTGTGAGAGAGATCATCTGCTCTGACCTCTCGTCCATCACAGGCCAGAGAACTCCTCCAAAATAATTCCTAGAGCGGATCTTTTAGAAAAACATCCACTCTTGATTTTAAAATGGTCAGTGATGGGGACTCCATCACAATCCTGGGTAAATTGTTCCAATGGTTAATTACCCTCCTTGTGAAAAATGCATGCCTTATTTCCAGTCTGAGTATGTCTAGTGTCAACTTCCAGCCATTGGTTCATGTTAGACCTTTCTCTGAGAGATCGAATACACACGCGCCCCAGTGAGCCGAGCTGACAAGGGGATGGAGCGTGCGCCTACTCAGCAAGTGAAGCTGGGTTGTAGCATGGGTCACGTCCCCACTAGTTTTAACCTAGTTCATGTGGGCAACAATAGCAGTGAAAACATAGCAGCACAGACCCTGGCCAGCGACCTCAGGGTGTACCCAGAGTCCCCAGCAGGCTGGTGCTGGGGTCAGCAAGCCCATGTCACCATGTCTTCATGACCACCGGTCCCTGCACCAGCTGCATTTGCTAGGTATGCCAACCTGCACTATGATCACACTTTCATTTGCTGTGTAGATGTAACCAAAGACATACGACTCCCGTTGACGTTCCCCAGCTGGCCGTGAAAATCTTGTCTCTCTCTGATACAGCTGCTGAAATCCCTGTCAGCACGGTGGAATTTCCACCTTCTCAGCGTTACCGCTCGTATTAGCAATGCTGTTTCTGCACTGGGGATGTGTTTCCACTGGGAACTGGCGCCAAACCTGACCAGCTAGTCCCTGCCCTTGATTGTGATCTGAGCTGGCTCTGAGGGGGGAAGAAGAATCTTGAGGCTTTTCGGCAGCAAAGAAGGAAAGGAAAGGCATCTCATGTGACCACATCTCCTGTTTCGGCCCCACCCTCCTTCTCAGCGCGAAGGCAGCTGTTGGTCCGGTAGGACAGAGCTATACATACCTCAGTGCGTTCAGGAGCCCCTCTGTGCTGGTTGAAGGCTGATCTTTCAAGACTTTGATGCATCCTTTCATCTACCAGGATTAGAGAGAGAGAGCCAGGCGGGTCAGCGCTCAAATGAAAAGAGCACATGGCAGGTGGGAGCAGGGAATGGCAGCCCCCTGACCCACACCTTCTGAGGAAGGACTGAGTGTTCTCTCTTAGCCCGTCCTTCTCACACTTCCCAGCTGTGTCTTGGCTTCCCTGTCCCTCTCCTTTTTGGCTTTGTCGCCAACCAGCAGATGAAGGGGTGATTGTCGCATAGGTAGGTACAAGCACCCTTGCCTCAGTCTAGCTAGCGTGGTTAAGAACAGCTGGGAAGACGTGGTGGGCCAGCAACCTGAATGCGTACCGAGGATCCCCTGCCGGACAGATTAAAGCACTGAAATCACACCTTCATTTGCTGTGTAGACATACCCTTTGTTTCTTAAAATGTCCCACCCCTGCTGCTATTGGTTGCAGCACTGCAGTGGTGGGAACTCCAGTGTAGACAAGGCCCCAGGTATATTAACGCAATTCTAAGACCTCCTCTGAGAAGAGTTAAAATACCAGCCACTGACCACCTCTAGGTTTCTCACCAGTGCTATCCCCAGTGGAACTGCATCCAGTGGTGGGAAATGTTTAGTCTTGAGACAGCCTTGCTTTCTTCCTCCATCTGTCTCTTTATCTCCAGTACTTCCTTCCTACCTTATTCTTAAAATCTTGGACTGGGAATTGTCCTGCACCCGCACTGCGTTCTAGGCTGACCGCTGAGTCTCTTAGGTGGCTGCCAGCTGCTCAAGTGCGGTGCCTGGAGGCCCCTGTCCTGCGGTGTGTCTCGTGCACATTACCGCAGATGGGAATCTAGCTGTGGTACGACTCCTGGTCTTCGGGCAACTAGGAAAGCCAAAAGTGAGCCGCCACCCAGGCTGGCTGGTAAGTGCTGTGCTAAGAGTGACTCTGCTGGATGTCACCCCTTGCGTATCTCACGCTGACCAAGACCTCATTGCTCAGAGGTAGGAGAGCAGGAGCGATTCTTGCTTGGCTACTTGTGATGGGCTCATCCAGCCCAGAAGAACCAACAGAACCTGGGTGGAGGTGAAGCATCTTCTCTCTGACTCTGCCCTGATCCAGGGGGTGGCTAGCAGGACCGCTCCTGCTAACCACCAAACCTATGCCTGTAGGCCCCATAGCACTCCCCATCTCTGGCTTCACTGACTCGTGATTTTCTTCTCGTGCCCTTTTGCTGGGCAATGCACTATCTATTGAGACCAAGGTGTCACTCACGTCAATTTTGGAGGTCTTTGCGAAAGCCCCGACGGGGTGAACGTGATCGTAGAGGATAATGACTCCAACCATCACTCGCATGCAGAAGAGAAGAGTCTCAGTGTTGGTAAACCGGCTCCTGTATTCCCTGAAATCAAGAGCGGGGTCAAAGTGACAAGCCGAGGGAAGTCTGGCAGGGTCTGACTTAGTGTCCTTATTGCTGCTGGCAAGTGAAGGGAGATGAGAAGGAGCGTCCCATGGGGGGGTCACAGGTGGGAGAGCTACCTGAACATGCCCCTTCTATATGGGTGCCTATATGTGTTTACAAGCTGGGCTTGGGGACCTGCAAGGATCTCTCAGCGCTCAGGAACTGCATGGATTCACTCCTGGTAGGGTGACTGCTTAGTCCCGGTCTTCCCAGTGTACGTTGATATCATAGAATCATAGAATATCAGGGTTGGAAGGGACCCCAGAAGGTCATCTAGTCCAACCCTCTGCTCGAAGCAGGACCAATTCCCAGTTAAATCATCCCAGCCAGGGCTTTGTCAAGCCTGACCTTAAAAACCTCTAAGGAAGGAGATTCTACCACCTCCCTAGGTAACGCATTCCAGTGTTTCACCACCCTCTTAGTGAAAAAGCTTTTCCTAATATCCAATCTAAACCTCCTCCACTGCAACTTGAGACCATTACTCCTCGTTCTGTCATCTGCTACCATTGAGAACAGTCTAGAGCCATCCTCTTTGGAACCCCCTTTCAGGTAGTTGAAAGCAGCTATCAAATCCCCCCTCATTCTTCTCTTCTGCAGGCTAAACAATCCCAGCTCCCTCAGCCTCTCCTCATAAGTCATGTGTTCTAGACCCCTAATCATTTTTGTTGCCCTTCGCTGGACTCTCTCCAATTTATCCACATCCTTCTTGTAGTGTGGGGCCCAAAACTGGACACAGTACTCCAGATGATGGAATTCCCTCCCTTGGCTTCCTGCTGGCCTGTGATTTTAGAAGCCATCTGCCAGCCCGGGTTCCGCGCCTAGGCACACGGGCCAGGATTAAATACTCACGGGGTCTCCAGCATCACCCTGCAGACACAGGCCATGGTGCTCAGACAGTCAGTTGTGTCCTCAATGGGGAGGGTCTTGTTCTGAAAGGAGAGAACGAGAGAGACACTAGATTTGCCTCCTGATCCCCTGTGCCCCTCGCTGGAGGGGAGGGATCAGTTAGGGACTGAATCACTTCATCGTATTGCTATTTCCCTAACCCCTGTTCAGTTGGTCTCCCTCTATAAACTCCTGTGCCTATGCTGCAATGGACAACTCTCCATGCCTGTGGCTTATACACACCTGTTTCTTATGACAAAGGACGTCCATGACCACGGATGTTGGAAACCTGCTGAATTCGTGAAGGAATCCTTCCAAAGCTCGCATTCTGTTTTCTCTCATGGTGAATTGTTGGGCCAAACTTACTGCTGGGCACAGCTTGATTGACTTCAATGGTGTCTCACTGGTTTACCCAACAGGTACATCTAGGCTATTGTCTATATTTCTCTCCTCCAGCCCCCCCCCCCCGGCTTTTGGTTTCTCTTTCTGTCTTTGGGGCTCACTCACCTCTGAAACAAACTTGGTTGTGGCGTTGCTTAGAGTTTTAAGCATAGGCGTGGCCTCTGCATAGAAGAGAGACATCCTGTTGGCCATTTCATTGTTAACGTCACTCTCGGCCTCCAACTGCAGGACATGAGATGCGAAAGACGTCTTGGTCACGTTAATCCCAACAGGACTGGGCAAATGCTGAAAATGTCTGAGCCCATCCTAATCTGCCCTGTTGGAATGTGCTGAACAGACCCAGACTATAACCTCACCAGCTCACACCTCCCAGTTCAGGTCTGGATTTGCTGAACTTGGGGGCTCAACCCGGACCGCCTTCAGGTTTGTTCACCCCAAGCCTTGCTGGTGCGGCAGAGAGGCGAGGGGGACCTAACGCAGCCGTCCTCCGGTTCATTCTGCGCATCACTTTATGAGAGGCCCACCCACTGCTTGTGTCCTCCACAACTTGCTCCTCGAGATGTTTAGTTCTGCCAACCATCTGGTAGAGCATCGAGTGACAAGCACTGCCCCTGAAGGAATCTCTCATCTTACTTTTCTAGCAGTTTATGTAGAGTTCACCTCCAAAGCTTTTTACCCAGTGTTAACCCGGGCTAGCAGGGCTAAACAGACCTCCATATCCACGCTCATTCCATCCCACACTGCTCTGACAAGGAACTCAAACCCTTTGGGAGGGGGACCGACCTCTTACCTGTAAATTGTTAATGCGATTTCGGCTGAGGGTTCTTCTGTAGTAGCTAAAATCATTCTGGATGGCAGGGTTGGTCATCTGCAGCAAACATGGACAGAGAAGATTGGAGGTCTGGTCAACTGCTCTTGGTAACGCTCCCATAGGGCAGAATGGGCCTTAGATCTGGATTTGTTAGACTGGGGGCCAGTTTCCAAGAAATGGTTGAAAGAGGAGTGGATAAACCTCTCAAAATCTAGCATAAGGGATGATACCCCAGTGGCGATTGGTGGGAATGGTCCAGAGGACCTAGTGTAGGCTAGTTCCACTGCCCGTTTGTCTAATGAGTGGTTCGTTTGGTTTACGCTTGCATGTCAAGTAAAGCAGAGCTAATTCACCAAGTCACAATTTAGCATTACAAGGAGGAACATGCCAGGGAATATTGACTCCCTGAAGAGCATGGCTTGTGTTGGGCTGTTACTGCGTCATGCAGCATTGGTTCTCTAAACCAACAGACCATCACTGGGAAAGCCGAGTTTCCGAGCTCCCATGTTCTGTCTCCAGCGGGACATGCAAAGCTTCCCTACCTTGAACTCGTCGAAGCTGAGGGTGAAGTGTAGGATTTCTGCAAACTGCTTTGCTAGGGCTTGTTCTCTCTCAAGGTGCTGAGTCGGTGCATAGGGCGGGCTAGTCAGAGCTTCCAGCAAGCTGCGCAAAGCATTCTCTGGGAGCGGGAGGAGAGAAAAAGGTGTATTACAGGGCGGCATGTCACCCAGCGATTGCCAGCGCTCAGGCTTAACCCCCTCCCACCCCGCATGGAGCAGTTCAGCCTTAGCTGGCAGCAGATTTAACTGCAGGTTCTGGGCTATAACCTCCCCATCTCCTGCACTCAGGGGCTTTTCTACCTCTCCTGACCCAGGGACACGCACCAGCGGTGTTTCCCCTCCCTGCAAACTGCTGGAAGCAAATCTCTTCATTCTCGTTTAACAGCGGGGTTATTTCCTGGGTGAATCCCCTTGATCTCATTCCAAAGGTGAGCAGCCCCCGGATGGCTCAGCAAAGGAAGGGAGCTGGCCTATTTCAGCCAACCAATCACTTGATGTCACTGGAACAGAGCTGATAATCTGATCTGTTGTGTCCACTTCAGTCCCTTCCAGCCAATCTGCTTTTCAAATATTGGTGAATCTAGCCTCTTCATCTCCCCACCCCAGTGAGTGAGATCTGTTTCGCAATCCCCATTTTACAGATGGGGAAACTGAGGCACAGAGTGTCACAGTGACTTGCCTTAGACACGCAAGTCAGTGGCAGAATCCGGACTTGAACCCAGGGCGGAGCCCCACTCCTGAGCCTTAACTACTAGACCATCCTCCCCTCTGAAGCCCAAGGCCAAATGCTGCAGTCCTTGCTGAGGCAACGCGCCGGTTGTTCTGAATGAAGGACAGGTGGGTGCGGCCCAGTGATAGCGTTTGGAGTGACATGCGGGGCAGGGAGCTGGATGTGGGCTGAGGGCAGCAGGTTTGTGCAGGTGTTCGGGGGACAGGAACGGAGATTGCGTTACTAATGGAGCTGGGGCTCACCCAGTCGAAGAGAGAACTCATAGAAGCGTTTCAGCTTTGCCACTAGAGGGCACACGGCGTTCCAGGCCTTCTCCTGTAGCTGGAGGTCATTGGGATTTTGGATTGCCTACAAGGAACCGAGATGGCAAGCTCATCGTTCGTGCCTGAATCCCTGCCCGTGTCCTCAGGCCAATGGCTGGAGGAGCTGAAGAGCTTTACCTCTCTGATCTCCAGCCCAGCCCCCGTGTAGGACTGCAGTTCAGCCAGGATTGTCTGTGCTTCCTCTAGCACGGCATTGACCTGGTTCCACACAGCTGTCTCGGCTTCCGTGGGCTGAGCATCTGCATCGGATCACCCCCCCCAAGAAAGCAACATTTCAGCGTGTGCGTCGGACAGCGAGAGTGAGGGCTCTTTGGCGGCCGGTCCCCGAGCAGTCTTAGACCCGGGGAAACGCACTGGCTTGTCTGGGGCGCAAGGGCAGACAGAGCGATTCCTCTGCCTAAGGCTGTGGAGAAAGTGCCGACGAAAGATGTGCGAAAGGGAAATTAGAAAACCTCCCACCAGTAGGGCCAGGCCCCATCTAGTGCTAGGCCTCATCTATCCGCTAGTCAGATCTGAACCTTCTGGAGACCTGGCTCTCCTCTCCCCAGTGATCTAGTCACACACGCAGGCTCCCAACGGAAAAGAAACGTGTGCAAAGGAAACAACACAAAGCAAACCAAAGGGAAGAAACGTCTCCTGCTGAGAGAACAACCCAATTGGAATGAGATGCTTTGGAATATGACTCCCCTCCACGGGCTTGGTTCTGATCCCATAGCAAATCAGGAGTCAGTGGACCTACAGTAGCATCATACTGGTGTAGGGAGGGAATGGGGCCCTTTCTTTCCTGACTGGGCCAGATTCCGGGCTCAACTTCCAATCTTACTGCTCCTGAATGGGCCCGTCAGATCCCTTCCTGCCTCACTTCGCACGGGAAAACAGCTCCCTGTTAACTAACATTGTCTCTCTGGAATAATGGATGGGACTGAGAGGATTTACATGGCAGGTAAATGTTAAGAATTCAGGCTTCTGGCTGGGACCTGAATGCCTGGCTGAGCTTCTGGCTTTGGGTTATAATCAACAGAGCAGAAACCAGAAGGAGAAGATAACCTTACAGGGATGGGACTGGCGCTAGGGATGGAGAGCTAAGCCCACCTCCAGCTCTGAAATGCCCCTACCAAAACCCTGAATGGCCTGACAGCCCTTTCTGCCGCCCCTTTGGAAACCAGCCTTTTAAATCCCCCAACATCTGGCAAGACCAGCTTCCTGAGAAATCGCCTACGGGAGACCAAGCGGGATGGTGAGTGGGGAAGAAATCGCTACAATTTCTGGAATGGGTACGATGCCATGGGAGATTAACTGAGACGACAACTTAAAATGACATGAATGTGGGGGGAAAAAAAATAAAAAATAAAATAAAAATCCCATCTCACGTTCAAAGTCAAGGAAAAAATTAGGGCCTTGTTCAAGGTCGTTATAAGTCAACACTTTAAGAAGGTTCCCCATGTGACACCTGCAAGAGAAGAGACAAGAGGAAAAAAATACGATGGGTAGTGAGGTGGCGTTCATGGAAGGAAGCAGTGGGAGCACTAGCCTGAGGGAAACATCTGGGCAGCAGGAAGAGCCCCTCGGGCATCAGAGTGTCAAGGGGTTTGGCCGGCTGTGTCACTCCGGAATCTTTGTGGCCGCACGTAAGAGGTGCCAGTTGTTGGCTCTTCGTAAGCAAGAGCCTAAGGGAGGCAAAGGCTATTGAGCCCAGCAACTTTGCAGCACGCGGCAATTCTAACCTTAAAGAGCCGTGCTGCTCAGTTAGAACGAGCTGAGGCTCATTAGAGACTCTCCCAAGATCTTGATGGCGACTGCAGCCATACGTGGCTCACGGGCGGGCGGCCCGGCAGCTGCTCCCAGCCCAATGAGCTGCAGCCTCTTCCTGCCCTCAGATGGAGATGAGCGTTGGCTGATGAGGGTGGTGACCAACAGTAACAAGCAAAGTGAGGGAGAGCCGCTGTTCTCCAGGTGGGGGAGGGGGGGAATGGTCCCAGGGCTTCCTGGAGTCCCGCTGCATGGGGTGGGTATGTCTCATTTCATCTCCAAAGCCAATACCTGCCCCTTGAGTCTCAGGGAGGTAATTACCCAGCAGCATGGAACATCCATCTACCCCACAGTTACAGCCGGCTCCGGGGACCCGGAGGCAACATGGTTCCGATGAGACTTTAACCTCCTGGCCCATACCCAGGCTGAAGCTTTGGACGTGTCCAGCCCTGGTCCCAGAACATGGGTCTGGGCCAGGCTCTGCTACAAATTGGCAGCATGTTTGGAAGGGAATCTCCTGGCTTGCTCACAGTCAGGAGGTACCTGGGGCCCTGCTGGGGGAATTGCTCTTGTGACAACCAGAAAAGGTCCTTGAATGGGGCCTTAGGGCTGAGCCATCCCTCCTGGCCCCATCTCCAGCCTCACGCTGCAAGGGCCTCCCCAGTGCTGCAGAGCCAGAGGACTATTTTGGGCTCCCCCCCAGGCCTCTCTGAGCCAGACTCTGTGGTGAACAGAGCCCTCGCCTCTCAGCCCCCGCCGGGAGGCAGCGTGTGAGCTGTGCTCCACTGCACTATTTTTACACCCCTCGGGTTTTCCTAAGTGCTGACTCTGAGCTGCTTCTCTGAGTGGATGAGGAGGGGCAGCCACGGGGGCTCTTGTCTCGCTGGTTTGCCCAGGTTAGTCAAAGGCAGGTGGGTTATTTTAGGAGTGACCCCAGCTTTCCGTCCTCCTTGTTCCCTTTCCTACCCCCTTGGGAGCGTCGGACCCATCTTCAGCACTGGTGCAGCTTACAGAGCGAGCTCCAGCCTGGATGTGTTTTGACCATGGGGGCCTCTCACCCCACGGCGAGCAGTGGGGTGGCGTTGCCAGCGTGAACAAGTCTCTGTTTTATTTCTCACTGTGCTGCTCCCTGATCCTCCAGCTCCAGGGGCTGGGGCCAAAGGGAGTTTGGCTCCCTGAAGCTGTTGGATGTTGCCAGCAGTACAATGAGGCAGCACAAATCCTTCCTTCCTCCTTCTGCGGCAGCATGTGACCAGCCATTACAGGCAGACGGGCTCTTTGGGGGCTTATTGGCCTGCTGGGAGGCTTATTAGCGGTCCAAGTCCTACAGGCTTGTGAGCAGCGAAGGGGATTCAGGCATCATGGGGCAGACCAGGCAGCTGCCTCGGGAGAGCGTGTTTGGGGCTGAGATCCTAGTGTGAACGGCAACGGCCTCTCTCTCTCCCAAATATCCTCTGGGGGAATGTCACCTCTCCTCCACGGCTGCCATAAATGAATTGCCCAGGTTGCTGGGAAGCCTCGCTCCATAGCAAATCTGTCTCGGCACCTGGATCCCAGAGCCATGGGTGCTGGATAAATAAAGAGAGCCAGTGGGCTGGGGCCTCTCCGTTCGGGCAGCGGCCGGGGTGTGGTGGGTGCTCCAGCGTGGAGGAACCTCCCCCCTGTTAAGGATAAAACCAGGAAAGCCCCTGAGCTCTCCATTGGCATCTGCAGGGTGAGGCCGGAGCTGCTCGTTTGATGGGAGGACGTAAGATTTCCCTCCCCGGACCTGGCTGGCGATGGAGATGGGATGTGACAGGCGGCAGGGAAATCACATGGTGGTTTCACGTGGGAGAGAGTCTATTTAATGCCCCCACCCCATTCCCCTGCTCAGTGGCGACCCAGGGCCGGCCTTAGGGAAAATGGCGACCTGGGCAAAAATGTATTTTGGCGCCTCTGGTTCACGCTGCCTCCCTGGGCTCCAAACACATCGCCCCCATCCCCCCTGGTCCCTGCCACCTCCCCAGGCTCCAAACACATCGCCCCCATCCCCCCTGGTCCCTGCCACCTCCCCAGGCTCCAAACACATCACCCCCATCCCCCCTGGTCCCTGCCACCTCCCCAGGCTCCCAACCCATCCCCCACATCACCCCTGGGCCAGCAGCCTCCCCATCTATCCCTCCATCCCCTCTGGCCCCCACAGCCTCCCTGGGCTCTCCACCCATCGCCCATGGCACCCACCACCTTCCCAGGCTCCCAACCCATGCCCCCATCTCCTCTGGCTCCTGCTACCTCCCCGGGCTCCCTATCCACCCATCCGCCCTGGCTCCTGCTACCTCCCCGGGCTCCCTATCCACCCATCCGCCCTGGCTCCTGCTACCTCCCCAGGCTCCCCATCAACCCTGGCCCCCACTGCCTCCCCCAGGCTCCGCACCCATCCCTCTGGCTCCTGTTGCCTCTCCTGGCCCCCTCATCCATCACCCCTAGTGCTGCTGCCTCCCTGGGCTCCCCACTCATCACCCCAGGCCCTGCAACCTCCCCTCCCACCCATTGCCCTGAGCTCCCTTCTGCAGCCTCGCACCCCGGGCTTGCACCCACTCCTTGCCTCTCGACCCTGGTGCACCCCCCTGATCACGGTGCCCCGGGTGGTTGCCCACATTGCCCACCAGTAAGGCCGGCCCTGTGTCCACCTGTCCAGCCAAGCCTACGGGAGCTGCCAGTGCCAGCCTATCCCAAGCCAGGGAACTGTTTCCCACTGTTCGTTTGGCTGCAGCTGCCCTCACTCAGAGAGGTCTCTAGGGACGTTACCAAACGTAATAAGGCCCGTCAGTCAAGCCCATTGCAGGGACCAGTGTGAATGTATGGTCATCTTTAGAGAGCAGCGGCTTTTCCTCCTGCCAGGCACAGAAATCCCCCGGCCCTGAGCGCGGGACTTACTTTCAAAATCCAGGAAAAAATGAGGACAGTTTTCTAAATCTTTGCCCAATACCTTTATCAGGTTGCCCATGGCCAGCAGACCTGAGCGAGAGAAAGAACAGAATGGAACAGCACAAGCACTGAGAGCTACAGCATGCCACCGCCCGGAGCACGGCGCTCCTCCTCCCCCCTGGCCCAGAGCCATCCACCCTCCTGCACCTCTCAGACGGCCCACGCCCGGCGGAGAGCCCCTGGCCAAAGGCTCCCTCGCAGTCATCCCCTCTTACCAGAGGGTGACACTACCAAGCCTGGGCCGACTTACCTGCCTGCGCCAGATACAGCTGGTATCGGCTCTGCAAATACAGGGGAGTCTCCCTCTGCCTCCCCACCTGGCTATGGACTTTGGGATGCAAGAGCAGGTGAGCGGCGGTGAAAGCTGGGCATGCTACTGTCCGCAGCACAGCCGTCTGCTCCACCTGTGTCCCTCTCCTGCTGGGTGTCTGCGTGAGGACACGGAAACGCGACTGCTCTCCCCGCCACTTCTGTTTTTTCTATTTTTGAGGCCGGAGGGGAAGCGGAGAGCTTGTTCCGTGCCTCGAATTTCCTGTGTGAGCCTCTCGCATCTTCCCCTCCACCCGAGCTATTCTGCCTTTCAGGACTTCCTCCTAGCCCAGCAGAACGGCAGAGGCCCCCTGACTTCCCTAACGCTTGCTGCTGCTATTTCTTGGTGCCCCTTCAGCTGCACTGAGAAACTGTTCCCCTGACTGGCTGGGGTCAGAAGGCAGGAGCCCTTATTGGGCCCACCTAGCATCTGTCTGCCACTGAGGGCACTGGGATGGGAAAACACCCGTCCCCATAACACCACGACCCTTACACTTCCTTAAACGGAGCTGCAGGCAAACCAGTCCCTGTGAAGCTGCATGGGACAGTTCCACAAACGAATGGGAACAGGTCTCCCTGAGCACCAGTTTGCATGCGCCCCTTGGGTTTACATACTGCTACTTGAGAGGTCTGGGCTAAGGCCTGGCATGCTCCAGTTGTTCAGCTCTGGGCAGTTCACAATCATCATGAAGTCTCGTTATTCCCATTAAGCAGAGGGGGAACCTGAGCAGTGAAGTGACTTGCCCAGCACTGCACAGTGAGTCAGTGGCAGAGCAGGAATGGAAGCTGCATTTCCCAACCCCACGTCCAGTGCCCCTACCCCCTGGGTAGTCTTGCTCCTTGTCTGTCCCACCATGAGACTCCACCACCTTCATGAATGACCCAGTCTGACCTGCCATCGAGGGGCACCAGAGCTCGGTGCTGGGGTCCCTGCTGTCAGTCCAGCACTGGTTTGCTTTGCAGTCCAGAAACACAGCGTAAGAATCCTTGTGCTGGAGTGGAACGCTGTGACCTGAAACCTCCATCTGCTGCTCTCCTAATGTGCTCTCCACTTGCTGCAGCCCATCAAGGGACCCCTCATCCTCTCTCAATTGCAATTTTAAGATACACTAGCCCCCTCACAACCAGGGGTCTCTCAATCTTCTTCTCCAGTCTATTGCTATCACTGATTGTCCCCCAGAGGATGGCTAGGGCAGGGGCAGTATCAACTCCAGGGGTCAAGGAGCCCAACTCCAGGGTACCAAGGCCCTAGTTGCTAGGGCTAACTTGATAACAGACATTGAGCAGAGGCCTAGGACAGCCTGGGTGACTATACTCTGTGTCTGTAAAAATGACTCCATCGGGGGGGGGGGGGCAGGGAGCACCAGGACCCCGGCTAGCAGAGCTCCTCTGCCATTAACTATCTGGCTGATGCTGGCAGGAGTCAGGGATGGAAGCTGTCCTCTTGCATAACTTCCTTCAGTGACTCCTGCTATAGCTAGGGTAGCTGGCTATTCCCCTTTTCACCCACTCGGTACAGTGCCTTCTGTTGAAACTGAAGTGCTAGCCCCGTGCCCATCCAGTGCCTGCTTGGGGAATTAGACTTAAACTGGTGCTCTTACATCCTGCTGAGAGGGGCTGGGCCTAGACTGTCTGTGAGCTCCCACTAGTAAACACTGCAACCTCCTCTCTAAGGTTGTAACCTCCTCCATTGCTGGCCTCCCAGTTGGGTCTGCTAGGAACAAGAAGAGATGATGGTCTTTACCTTGATTTCTGATGCTTCAGTGACCTCTATGGCAGGAACCGGGGCTGTGTATTGCTCATAAATCACTTCATCGGCTGGCAGAAATCTGCAGTGAGAAGGAGAGGGACGGAACATCACTGGAGGCTTCCAAATTTCAACCATCTTCATGAGTTAAGCAGTTCCCTATAAACCTGCTGATAGTGAGGGCCAGGTGTCCTTGTTGGAACCCAGGGAGTGACTACCTGAGCCCAGGCCTTGCCCATTCATCCAGGGAAAGCTACCAAGGAGCTCAGCAAAGGCCTACACAAAGGTCTCAGGAAAAACTGCCTGGAGTGGGTCATATGGAGGAAGCTATTAGGGTAACGCCAATTAAAATTCTGCCTCTGCAGGCCACATCGTGGGGGTTTGCCCAGGGAGTGGACTCATTGGACACTTCATTCATTTGTACTCTGGCTCCCCCAGTTCAGATCACCACCTTGGATGTGTCTCCAAACATGATGTTACTGTCAGAGAACAATGTTCCTGTGAATCAAAGCGGTGACCCTGTGGCTTGGGGCAAGTGTTTGCTCAGGAATTAAACCCAGGATCTGTAGCTGATGACAGCTAGCCATGACTCTGTCTCTTTCACGGGCTGGCTTAGATACCAGATTCATCCTCATCACATCGGGACCAACCCCATCACACCCTCCATTAACTCCTACTTTGGATCCTGCGCCTTCCTGGTCCTCAAGGCAGCATGGCCAATCTTTGTGACGGGGAGGGAATTCTGAGTGCGAGATCAAGTTGCAGTACAGACTCTGCATCTCTGCCTGGTTTCCATCTTGGTGCTGAGCTCTCCACATCGCTATGGCAACAGCTAAAATGTCTCCTTAAGACATCCTCCCCCAGCCCCATATTGAGTGCATAAGGGGCCTATTGCTCCTCTGTCTGTCGAGAGCAACAAGGGGTAAATGACCAAGCAATTGGCCCTTTAAGATGACAACAGGGAGTTTTTAATCATGCCGTGACGTGTCTACAATCCAAACTTTCCTTTTCTCATCCAGGGCTGCATGGGATTTGAACGCATTTCATGATGCAATTTCCTATCGTCGGCCATTTCGTTTGCAAGATGCAAATGAAGAGGCATCCGTTACCGCTAGCCCAGGGAGAAGTCAAGCTATGGCAATTGATTACTGCCGCTTGGCAGAGATGAGTTATGGTTTCTGTACTGGGGATGAACTGCCTTCTGCAGATGTCTAAAACCTGTATGTCAATGAGAATGGCAGAGAGGCCCCTTCAACATCTCATAAAGTTGCAGGCTGAAGGTCTGCAGTGTTGTGGCATCCATCACTAAATATACAATGGGACCAAGAGTATTTTTGCCTCTGAGTCTGACCCTTATCTAAAGGTTAGAATGGAGCAGTGGTCAGGAAGGGTCTTTCCTCTTTGCATTTAGAATTAAGTTGCTTCCAAAGGATCTGTGTAATCTCTCTAAAATATTGTTAACAGGCCATCAGCAGTTCAGCACAGTATCTAGGCAATTAATAAATTATCATTAAGAATGGCTACATAGACAAACAGAAGTGGATGGTAATGGACCAGTTATCAGTAATGGACTATGCATGCTCTTTGACACTCCTTGATGTTACCATTCCAGTCTACCAAATAAATACCAGGCATCCCATAAATACCACTGCAATGCTCCCATGCACCGACGAAGCAGCCCAAAGCTTGGGCCAGTCAGCTAGGAGAGGTGCAAAACTTTCTTTGGTTTTGGTTCACATGGGCTCAGAGTACAGTTGTGTGATTTAGGTTTGAATCTGCGCAAACACTCAGTGTGAAATGCCATCAGAGCTATCCCTTGAAACAGGAAACGTGTCAAGGCTAAGTTTTGAACAGAGCTGGTTCATGGCGGTATGACATACCAGCACTGCACCAACCAAGGGCTGGTGGCATGATGGTTGCTTAAAAAAACAACCTCCTCTTCTGAATATGACCCAGTACAGGGCTGTCTTCCTGAGCCTACAGACAGAGTGAGTCATTAGCTTGAAGAGGTGTGAACTGGTTCCATTAATCTCTTACCTATTTACGATTGATCATTTGACCAAAACCTTTAGCCACGCTGGGATTGTGGATGGGATTTGGCTAGTGATGGGATTGTGGGCAGGACATTTTGCTAGTCTGCTTCTTCTCACATGATTCTCTCCTGAAACCATAACTCAGCCCAGGATCATATGAACCATAGCAAACTGAACAGAATTTTAGGTTTGAAACCTAACTATGAACATATTGCAGAACTTCGCTCACTGAGTAAAGGATTTAAAATACCCTTTTACTTCTGTTTTCTCTTGTATTTATTTTCAGCACCGTTTCAAGTTGTCAGGGAAGATTCCACACAATATGAACATAAGAAGAGCCACACTGGGTCCATCCAGCCCAGTATCCTGTCTTTGACAGTGACCAATGCCAGGTGCCCCAGAGGGAATGAACAGAACAGGGAATCATCAAGTGATCCATCCCCTGTCGCCCATTCCCAGCTTCTGGCAAACAGAGGCTAGGATACTTCAAAAAAGAACTAGATACATTCATGGAGATAGGTCCATCAATGGTTATTAGCCAGGATGGGCCGGGATGCAAAACCATGCTCTGAACTCTGTTATAGTCTTGGCCGTCACAACGTCCTCTGGCAAGGAGTTCCACAGGTATGGGTATGGATTTCACTATGTTTGCCCCTTAAAAACAAGAATATGCCCTGCTCTTTTCCTAAAGGAAACTTCCCAGTCCTGGGAAGCCACTTTGCCACAGGGCCACCTATTCTTCATTCTTGCACAGCTCGGAGGGGAGCGAAGTCTTGGAGATTCTTTAGCAATTTTGGGTGGCACAGAGGAAAAAGTACAAACAGATGGAGAAAGAAGAGCTAAGCTAGAGATCCTTGCCATCCCACCATCCAGAGCGAACAGCTGGGTAGTGATGCTTCAGCAACACTCTGTCTAATTTGAGGCGGAAATACTCTTTGCACGATGTCAGTGAGATGCTAAGGCATAAAGAAACAGCTGTCATAAACCCATCAGTTCTCTCCAGAGATCCAGTCTGCAACTAGCCGCAAACCATCGGGGAGTGTGACACTCTGAGCAAACGTGCTCTGGTTGAGTCCTTCAGTTTAAGGAACTGTGTGCCACTATATGAGTGGTGAGCCCAAAAGTCATGACCATCGACTTCAGCAGCATCCTTTCAAAATGGAACCATACTCTCCCTTCTGGGCATGTAGGGGAAAAAAGTCCTCTCCCATAATCTAGACGCGAAAGGCAGACAGCAGAAGGCTGGGTGGACTTGTGGTGAAGGCACTGGCCTCAGTTCCTTGCCCTGCCACAGCCTCCCTTTACCTCTCAGTGTCTTAGTTCCCCAGCTGTAAAATGAAGGTCGTAGTATTTCCTTTCTCCCACCCTTTGTCTCCCTGGATTGTACATTTTTGGGGGCAGGGCCTATCTGATATTACGTTTGTGCAGCACCTACCATGAGGTGACCTCAAGCTCATATGCAGCCCCTAGTTGCTACTACAATGCAACTCACATTAAGCATTCCTACTCTTTTCATTTTGGAAAAGTCCAAGACACTTAAATTCATGGACTCCATTGTGAAGCATGTGGCTTTCGTGGTATTAACGGCAGCTTGGAAGCCACACCCATCTTTCCTCCTGCTTTTACTTTCTTTTCCCCCCCTCTCTGTTCTCGGATAGTTGTCCTTTTGCTAAGTTTTAACATTTCATAGTTAATATTAGGAGAGGAAATACAGCATGTATGAGAGTCGCTGCAGCTTCTTTCCGAAGGGAATCAGAATGTGATGACTAGATCTATCTTTCTTACAAATTGGTTTATTGCTTATAAAATCCATTTAAAAAAAAAAGTTCTGTGTTTGTACGTCGCCTAGCACACCAGGTACTGCAGTACAAATTCTCACTAGCATTCAGTGCAGCTTTTTTACTTAGCGCTGGTAAAAATGATGCCATTTATCTGTGGTGGGAATCCATTTTTTTTTTAATTCTCTGTAAATTATTATTATTATTATTTTGACAAAACCCCAAAATTGTGAACGGGGAAAATGTTTGCTCTTGGAACCTGGTTTTTCGTTTTGTTTTTTAAAATCAGGTTTTGGGAGAAATGTTCAATTTCTGAAACCAAACTGTTTGACTGAAAACCTTTTATTTATTTATATTTTTACTGGAAACGGACCATTTTTATAAAAAGAAAAGCACTCCATGCCGGGTTTCCCTTTGAAAAACGGGAAACCTTTGACCAAAATGAAATGTTCTGCAAAAATGGCTGAGCTGAAAATGTTTCAACAAAAACTGCCACCCCACTCTAGTTCGAATACGTTTCCTGATCAGAACCAATGTGGAATGTTGTAACTCCTGTTGACATTGATGGGACTTGGGCATTGTTAGCATCTCTCAGGCCCACACCTTGCCGGTGCAAATCTCAAAATGCAGGTATCAAATAAATGCCCAGTAATGTTAGGTGAACAGTACGCACAGATTCAGACCAGTCGCTGTCCGCATCTTCCACTGCATTCGGTCCCATTGCTTTCTGACCTTCACTCCTCTTTTACAAAGGTCACTACTTCCTCTGAGGTGCTCCGAGAGTTCAGTCCTGCTCTGAGAAATGACTCCGTGGGAGCAGCACTGTTGAGTCTGGGTTGGTCTCAGCAATTCTTTAGCAGCTTTCTTCAGCTTGCAGGTTCAAAAGACGTTTCTTTTTTTAGCTGCCAGCCCTGCCAACTCCCCCTGAGATCTGGGTTCTCTCAGTCTTTGTATCATCACTAGTAATAATCATTCTGCCACGGGGACTAGCTTAATAATTTTCTTGATGATGCATGAGCCAGGATTGCATCCAACTCGCTCTTCTCTAGCTGTACCCGCTCTGCAGGCTGAACGGGAATAAAAAGCACTAAAAGCATAGTTTTGTCACTAGGGTCAGCAGATCTGACTGTGATGACGCCTAGCTGAGAAAGAAGGTACCGTTTGTACGCAATCACCTTTTCTGTGACTACCCCTCGCTATACCGGGACATTAAATACCAAAATAAAGGCAACCACAGCTCAGTCCAGAGCCATAGAGCACGGAGATTGGGTGTTAGGCCCAGATCCTCAAAGATATGGAGATGCCTAGCTCTCATTGATTTTAGTGGGAGTTAAGTGCCTTTGAGGAGCTGGGGCCTGCATCCTGCAGTACTGCCTGCTCTCAGTTTCTAATTTGTCTGATGTTATCCATACGGGCATTTGGTTCCTCCCAGCTGTGAGTGAGGACAACCTGCGCCTCTGTGCTCTGCGCCTTGAAGGTTCACCGTATTTGCCTCTATTAATTGTTTTTCCACCAGCAGTCAGTGGCTTTTCGAAGCCAGCCAGCCTTTCATGGAAGGAATCCGTTCTTTTTACTATCATCTCCTTCAGCTCTTCCAGCTGACATCTGAGCAGAATCCCCCCGGGAAAGGAATGAGCCCTGTGTTTGTTTAATAATACTGAGCCTTTACATAGCATTCAGAGCACCTCCTGGAAATGTTCTAGCTAATCCTCACAGCACCTCTGTGTGAGACAGGTGGCTGATCCCCATTTCCTAAGTGGCTACACTGAGCTCGGAAGGTGAAGTGACTTGCCCAGGCCCGTCCAGTGCATAAATTGTGGAGCTAGGATTAGCACTCGGGACCGCCTGCTTCCTACCCATGGGCTTGGTCCCCTCAGACCACGCTGCTTTCCTGCAAGCATTGGGATGTGTCTACTCAAACGTCCTTCCAGGCAGGACGCTCACCTTTCAGCCTGGCTAGGGCGTTGGAAAGCTTGGGGACATGAAGCCAATGGGGGGACAGCAGGAATGAATTTCGCCTATTTTTCTATGGGATTTTGTTTGCGATTTTCCTTGCCTCACAAGAAGCTCCCTGTGTTGAAGTGGGGATTTTCCCTTGTTTTGTGGTATGTAAGCCTATGTGAGTCTTACCGTTTTGCATGAAGGCGGTGTGTGCCTCAGTTTCCCTATGTGTTGCACCAATATCTAGGTGGTGGGAATAAGCGTGTGTGATTTTTGCGGGGCCTGCTCCAGCTGCCTGCACATATGCTATGGCCGCCCCTTCGTAACCTGAGACCCAGGAGGGGATGCGACCAGGTGACCCTTGGCCTGGGAAGCGAGACAAAGGCCGGAGGAGGAGCAACGGGCAGGACAGGGGCCAGGCAGCATGAAGCGGAGTCAGTCTCGGCTGGCTTGGGGTGCAGGGGGAGGGCCAGAGCCCTGGCTCCCCTCCCCCCAAGATGGACTTGGCTGAAAGTCACTGATTTCTGTGCTAACGTTCTGTTCTACGCTGTGTTCCTGTCGACTAACAAACCTTCTGTTTTACCGGCTGGCTGAGAGTCACGTCTGACTGCGGAGTTGGGGTGCAGGGCCCTCTGGCTTCCCCAGGAGCCCTGCCTGGGCGGTCTCACTGTGGGAAGCACGCGGTGTGGAAGGGGCAGCTGAATGCTCCGAGGTCAGACCCAGGAAGGTGGAAGCTGTGTAAGCTTCTTGCCCGGGAGACAGTCTGCTCAGAGAGAGGAGGCTCCCGCAGAGTCCTGGCTGGCCTCATATGGAGTAGTTCCAGAGCATCGCTCCGGTGACTCCGTGACACTCCCCTGGCTCTGGTATGTCAGCCTTGAACCAAACTATGGCTATTTCCACCACCAGCTCCCCGGATACCCCTGCAGTTAATATTTGATTGCTCATTTCCTGTGTTCTATATCCCAGGACAGCCTGAATTCCCCAGCGGGCTGCCATCGGCTACTGGTCTTTAACAAAACGCCCTCTCCAGCATGCTGTCATTTGCCACTGACCCAGGTGCAAAATGCCCTCCCTCCACCCAAAAATCAACCAGCGAAGGGTGAGTTTTATTTTTATGGGGTTTTTCATTTCTTTACAAAATAAGAATACAAAAAAAAAAAAAATCACTACATTGGGCCCAATTTGTCCCTGGTGTAACTCCACTGATATTGATACAGCGATGCGGGGGCGAATTTGGCCCAGTATCGATCTTACGGTTCGGCTCCACCGCACGGTCCCTTCTGTGGCGTGTCGGGTGCTTACACTGTGTGCCCCGGAGCGCAGGTGTAAATAGCAATGTCGATGGTGAGGCATTGCGTCGATGAGTCACGTTAGGACAGACCTGAGTCCGGTGGGAGTGTAACCTGCACACCCAAGCAGTGCCTGGTCTACACTGCCATTTCAAACAGCGTGGCGTCCTGCTCCTACTCTGCTGCCAGAGCCTTTCCCCGCCACAGGGAAGGACTCCGGTAGCTCCCCACTGCTGAGCCTTTCCCCACTGCCGTCCCCTGCCAGAGCCTTTCCCCGACGCGCGTGTAGCTACGCACCACAGCGTGAAATCAGCCTGCTTTTCCCTGCGGGGGGTAGCTACGTCCTGCCGCAAGTGGTGTGCAGTCTTAGGTTCCCTGACACCATATTATCTGAGCTCTTCCCGGCACCCCTGTGAGGTAGGGAAGTACCAGTATCCCATGGGACAGATGGGGAACTAAGGTTCCAAGAGGCTAAGTGACTAGCCAAGGTCACACCGGATGTTTGTGGCAGAGCAGGGGCCTGAGCCCAGGTCCTAAGCTAGTGCTTGAATCGCTGGACTGTCTTTCCCCTCTATCATTTACTAGAAAACTGATTGTAACTGGACTGTGTGAGACTGTTTATTTCCAGTGACATGGAACTAAATTTCCAAACACGTCTCCAAGTCATTGGTTTTCTGTGATTTATGCCTCTGTTAGGTGAGTTTTTCATCACCAGCAGTCCCCACAAGTCATCAGACCCAGAGGGGAGAATCTCTCGTCATCCAGAGATTGACAGCGGATGCTCGAGCCACAGCTAGTACACGGGATTGTTATTCTTTGCTATGCTATGCTAATGGGATTGTTATTCTTTGCTATTTTAAAGATGCATGTTTCCAGTGAGCAGGGCTGTCACGTAGGACCAGTGTGTCCCCTGGAAAATGGCATTTGGTAATGAGGAAACCAATGAAGAATCTGACATCGGAGTTGGCTTCAGAATACAGCCCAAGCAGCAACCAGGGTAAGGTCACCAGATTATTATAATTACTATTAATTTATATTGCAGTAGCAATCAAGAGCCTTAGTCATGGGCCAAGCCCCCCCCTTGTGCGAGGCACGGTACAGACACAGAACACAAAGACATTCCCTCCCCCAAAGAACTTACAGCCTACGTACAAGACAAGAGACAACTGGCGGAGACAGGAAACCATGGCTTCTCCTAGGGGGTCTCCCATAGCTGCTCCATTGACTTTAATGGGAGCAGTATTAGGTCCTGTGTCAGTGGCGAACCCTCTGCATAATCACCAACCTGCTAGTTGCTTGATGTAGATGGGGATGGGGATCAGTGATGTGCTGGTGGGGGCATTGGTTAAAATTCCACCACTGGGTTTTGTGGGGGTGAAATCCAGCCCCATTCCCACCCCTTGCTCCCATCCCTGATCTTGATACATCATCCCTGCAGGCCAGGCTTGTCACTGGGGCCCACAGTCCCAATGGAACAGATTGCACCAAGCAGTAGGTAAGAAAAAAATCATCTCCAGGTTGGGGAGAGGAGGAACTTCCCTGCAAGCCAACACCTGGTTTGCTCAGCAAAAGACCACAGGGTGGGGCCTGGTCCTCTGAGTCAAATTCTGCTCTGAGGCACTGGTGTGAACCCATTGACTTCAGTGGTGTTCCTGCAGATTGGTGTAGCTGAGGGCAGTACAAAGCCCTCCCCTTACACCTCCCCCGGAGTTGCTTTCTCATTCATTCTTTCACTCGTGGGTAAGAGGCGGAGGAAGCATCAGCCCTGGGTTAGGGTTTTGTGTTTTTTTTCTCTCTTTGGGCCACACCCTTATTAAAAGCTAGATTTTGCATGTAACAGGCCGACTGCTCAGGTTTAATTAACGCGGGGGAAGATCTGAAAGGGAAAGGGCCTAGGGTTGATGATGCAATTTGCACCCAGGTCGCCATGGCGAATGATCCCTCTCGTGTGTTTGAGAAACACATTCTGGGAGGGGCTCTGCGTGAATGCAAGGCAGCTGCTACCCCGCCAGAGAGCCAACCTCACTGAAACTCTCAGATGGCTGCAGTGTTCTCCAGGGCAAGAAGGGAGCTCTCAGCTTCTCACAAGGACCCTATTCTCACCTGGGTAAGAGGTGATGTTACACTATGCCAGTAGAGATGCCAGGCCGGAATTGTAATAGAACACAGTGCAAAGGGATTTGGCCTTATTTACAGTAAAGGCTACAAGGGTCTGACTCCTTATTCAAACAGCTCTCGCAAAATAAAACCTGGTTTCCTTTAGGACTAAATTACTTTTGTCCCTTCTGGGAATGTTGTGTTGCTGGAGAATTAAATGAGGTTTTGATAAAATCTTTAAGGTGAGGCAAATTATTCATTCGCCTAGACACTGCCATGTAGAGATAGTTCTCGTCTCTCCCTGCAGTAAGATACCAAACCTAATGCAGCCATGCCTCATCTCTGCATGTTCCCAGATGCTGCTGTAACACCCCAGGGCCAGATCCTCAACTGGTGTAAATTGGCGTAGCTTCTCGGTTGATAAGCCAGTTTACACTAGCTGAGGAGCTGGCCTGAGATGTTAAGTTATGCTGTAGTAGATCCAAGGGGAGACAGACGTTTCCCAATGCCAGAGCCCCATGGGTCCCATTCTGAAATACAAGGGGTCACCCCTGCTACATCTCAGTGCTTGTCTCTAATGCCAAGTGTTGAATAATCCCCTCTGGGACAGATCTTTGCCCTCAGCCTGGGCAGAAGGATGGCAGAACTACAGTGCATCTTGGCACCTTCCCACTCCAAAGCACAAGAGAGCCCGGGCAAACACCATCCCAGCTGTTTGTCTGGCCCCTCTCCATGCCAAGTTATCTCAGGCAGGCTGATTTCCCTTAGTCATTTGCCTTCCGAGCAGCATTACACAGTGCGGCGGGGGGAGCAGCGGAGTGGCGCTGTATGCGAATGGAGACGCTTGTTCCCAGGTTATCACTCTAGCCCCGTTTTTGTTCTCAGCAGCCCATGGCTTCTTTCCTGTTCTGCCGTGAACAGGTTTCTGGGAGCCCTGTGGCGTCCAGCTTCGTATCCATTGCCACCGTCTCAACTCCAGCACAGTCGGTACCGTTGCTACCAGCGCCGTCAGCCTTCACGCAGGTATTCGCGCCTGCCGAACCATCAGCCACTCCGGCACGGCTGCCGCCGCTTCCAGCCTCATGGGTCTCCTCGACCCTGGGATTAGCTCCGCCAAGACCAGCTCCCCGTGACGGGCAGTTCGACTGCAAGCCGCACTTTTGAATGCCTTAATGAGCACCTCGCTGCCGCGGTGACAGGGCGCTCCGTAAGCTAATTAAATAAATAACAAATCGCCGGCAAGGTGGCAGCTCTGCATAGATGCTTGTTAATTCAGGGCAGTTTGGAAAGTGCCGTTTTTGTGCACGGTTGTAGCTGGCAGGCCCGGCGAAGGAACCTCTGTGACAGCTGCTTTGGAGCCCCCTAACGGGACGTGGGCATCTGCACTGTACCCGCCAGGGCTTTGGGCTGAAGGGGGGCAGCATTCCCAATTGAGGGCACTGGGCCGTAGGCAGTCTGGAGCAGCTGCCCTCCACCATCTGGAAGAGCAATTCTGTGAAACAAACAGCCGTGAGGGTGACCTTGAATGAGGTTAAATCGAATTGACTCTGATTCTGTTTCCTCATCTTTGCGAATGGGGCAAGGGCACCAGCTGCCCCAACAGCCGGATTGCCACTGCTCCCAAACCAGCATAACCTTCCTCCTGGGCACCTCAACCACTCTCATCCTCCTTGCTGACACCGCCCCATCAGAGACAACAGTGCCACCCAGTTCCCACCACCACGACTGCCAACACTTCCATCACCATGATTATCAACTTGGGTACCGCCCATACCATAACCACGGTCAGTTACCCGAACAAACTGCCCATACCCAAGTGGGAAGGGACCTCTTCCACATGTGAAGACAGCCCAATAGCCTGGACACAGACACGCGACAGGAGAAATGAAGGAATTAAGTGGAGAAGCAGAGTGGATGGGGAGTAAAAATCCAGGCCAGCATTTTCACAGCTGGGCCCCTTAAGTTAGACACTTCCACCTGTGTTTAGACACTTAGATAATTTGATTTTCAGAGGTGTTGAGCACCAGCGGGAGCTGCCAATGTCCTGCGCTGCTGAGAATCAGGCCACTGATTCAGGTACTTGAATATAGATTTTGGTGCCTCTCGTTGTTTGTTTATGGGGGTGCCTGCAGTAGGGTAGGTGCTTTTCCAACACTAAAGAAGGACAGTCTCTGCTTCGAGGACAGACGGGTTAGACCATGGTTAGAGAAAGGGGAACAACAACAGGCAATGTTTATACCGGTCAGTTTGATTCACCATAAGCAGCACAGCCAAAGTGGGTCTTTAAGAGGGATTTAAATGTGGCCAGGGCAGGAGCTCCGTGGATGAGTTCTATGCAAAGGGGGTCAGGTAGATCTAAGTTACGTCACCCAACTTTGAGAAGGCTGGTGCTCTCTGTCCCTGTCTTTTCTTGCAAGGAGGAATACCTGAGGGGAGAGACTTTGGAGGGTGACCTTTAGTCATTGCAAAGCACTTAATTTCTTTGCAACCCTCCATGATACTTGGTTCCAAACGTTCCCCACACCCTGTTCCGTTAGGACTAAGAACCGGCCTGAACTGCAGCAGTCATATCCTGTCTGATTCGGATCAGGTCACTTGCTGAGAACGGTGCTTAACGAACCACCCTCCAATCAGCCAGTAGTCTCGACTCAGGAAAGTCTTTAGCTGGCCTTCTGCTTTTGCTTTCTGAATGGCAGACACCATGTAAACAAACCACAAGCGCAAGAAAAAGGTGAGGTCTCTGTTTCGAAAGGGCTGCAAGGGAAGCTAGAAAAACAGCCCCGCTCTTTCCTGACGTCTGCAGGATGTACCGGGCGGTTGGAAACAAATGATGCTCTTTGCACTCCCCACCAACTAACCATTTCTAACCCGGGTAACTTCCAGTCGTGCCAGTGACACAGTATTCATACTTCAACTTTGAGACTGCAAACCAGATGCCAGGGTGAGGGGTGCCTTATAAAACCGTGATGGGTGGGTGGAGGTCCTCCATTGCTGCCAGTCTTGTCATCCTTTCTTCCTCTCTTTTCCATTCTCTCCCTTTCTTGCATCTCCTTGAATTGCAGTTCCAGGAGCACTTAAAAGTGCATGAGTGAGGAAGTTGCTTTAATTACTGTGCTCTGAATTGCCAGCCAAATAGCTGCATCCCTCTAGCTCCCGCCAGACACCGGTATACCCCCAAATACCTAGGGAGCATGTCCTCAGGGCTGGCTTACAGATGTGTGAATCTCTCTACCAAGCAACATATGCCAGAACCGCATCTTTCCTGGGTATGGACTCCCCCAGTTGTGCATGCTTATGACACCCCTCCAGCAGCTTCTCTGTCTACTCTAGGGTCGTCCCCACAACCTGATGTGGGGCTCTGCATCTTCTGGTAATGCCCCCACACCTTCCAACACATGGGTAGGGCAGCCAAGAGATCGGGCCAGTCTTTTCCAAACAGGGACTGATGGGACTCCAATCTCGATGGTGGCTAAGTAGCCCCCCAGCATTGATGGGTGTCTGGGTGGTTGGATCTGGGTGTGCATGACTTTGATTTTTCTCCCGGTTCAGGCACTGACTTCCTATTATTTTACGTCCTAACGTGAACTGGTCGTTTTTTCGGCTGATCGGGTCAGCCCTCCGTGGTTGATTCTTCCCACCGTGCGTTCCAGCCGTGTTATGGTAATCGCATGTCCTGGGAGCGCTCAGTGAATGTTTCCTGTGCGTCATCCTAGGGAAGAGATTCTCTGCAGCAGATTCCTGGGCAGCCAACGGGATGATGAGCAAATTCGACTGAGGAGCTTCCCGATCCAAAGCTCATTGTAGTTATTATCACGGATCCTAACCATCTTGCCTCCGAGACATGACCAGCCTCAGAGATGTAGCAGGGGCTAATGGGAAAGCAGATGATGAGCTGGCCACAGTGATCCATCAGAAATCGCCACACTGACCACAAAGCAACGCCAGCTGGTCCAGCTTTCAGCACTGCTGGTCACCAAGGCCCAGCGTCTCAAAAGCATTTAGACAGGTTTCAGAGTAGCAGCCATGTTAGTCTGTATCTGCAAAAAGCTCACAAAAGCTTATGCTCAAATAAATTTGTTAGTCTCTCAGGTGCCACAAGTACTCCTTTTCTAAAAGCATTTAGGTGCCCAGTTCTACTGGGAATTAAGCACCCAAATACCTTGAACAATCTGGATCCAAGAGCCCACCCCTGCGCTTCCCTTGCTCTGCACTCTCCTCATGCAGAGGGGCATATTCACAATCCTGGCTTTTCTCATGAAGGCCACTCTGTGGTATCAGCCCTCCCTACCTAACATCTTTCACTCAGAGACCACATCCTCCCTTGACAGCTTCATTTCACAGCCACTATAAAGCTGCAGACCCCAGGCATTGAGCACATGAGCGATGGGGACATGTCTGTCTTGTGAGCAGGTCTGAAGCTGTGGGAACTCCCTTGGAGGAGGTGAGAGATGACCACAGATCTCAGCTCTCCCAGTGAAGTGCAATGCTGGCTGCTGTGACCAAGCCTTCCAGGCAACACCTCCCGCAGAGGTGCTAAATACCATTTCAAAGCTTTTCCAGGTGCTCCTGGAGCAGGGAGGAATCTAGACCAGGTGGAGGACATTTCGTGCATGCAAATGTTGATTTGCACCGCACACGCGGATGCTGTGGGGAGGAGCATGGTATACACAGGTAGACAGATGTCACCAAATGGCTGTTGCGCTATCCCTTGTCTGCTTGTTGGATCCACCTGTTGTCTCTCATCTTCGATTGCCAGCGCTTTGGGGTAAGGGCATGTACAGCACCTAGCGCGATGAGGCCTTATCCCTGTAGGTGCTACCACAATATGTGGTGATAACTTTCACTTCCTGCAGAATTGGGTTGGATTTGAACTAGCCACATAGGGGGAAGTTTCCATGTCCCCCTCAGATCCCCTGAGCGCCATCTAGTTCCTCCATTTAGGGTCCTTTTTTGTCCATCCTTGCACAGCAATTAAGTTCTGTGAGCCTCTGCCTCAGGTTGCCATGACAAACTAACTTACCACCCCAGACGTGGTGTTTTTCTATCTGGGGCTCGCTACGGAGTTAAAATAACCTGAAAAAGAACAGCCGTCTCTTTGTCAAATTAGAAGCCAGTGCTGATATTCAGAAGCACTAAATTAATGGGAACCTTAAATCGCCAAAGGGCCCTGTTTTTTGTTGTTGTTCGTTACATCAGTACATCCACAGGCCCCGTAAACTATCTGACACTCCTCATTAAACCGTAATGCGGCAGCTGCTGCGGCATGTTCTGTCCCTGCCCGGGGCCGGGCCCTAAGCACTCTGTTTGAAGCTACAGGGGTGGGAAGGGTATTGCCCGCTCGTTTCTTCAGTCCCTGAGCAAGGGACAAGGGCTCAGCTCCTGCAGAACCAACACGTTTTATCCCATAAAGTGACAGAAGAAGCCCTGAGGGTAAATCCAGGCTTAGCGAAACTAGAGAGCTGGACAGCTTGGTTCCAAGCAGGTTTGTGGTGTCTGCACACGGCCTGCTGGATGGCTTTGGAGCGTGGGTAGGGGTGTGATGGGACTAGTGCCTTCTCTGCCGAGTTTTTTTTTTTTACATATGGATTATTTCTTATTTCTCTGTTTAAAAAAATATATAAAAACCCCAAACCGCTTCATTAAATAAGCCAGAAGCCCAGAAAGA